CACTTGTTTCTCAGCAACTGGTACTGTTTAGAAACATTAGAAGGTGGAGCCTTGCTGGAGTAACTGGGTCACTTGGGAGCAGGTCCTAAGGGTTATAGTCTGGCCCTCCTTCCTTCCTGAACTCTCTCTCTCTGCCTCTTGACTTCCACACAATGTGACTGTCTCGTGTTCCAGCCACCACAGAACAGCCCACTGCTGTTCCTTCACCAGCATGACAGGCTGTGTGCCCTCAAACTGTGAGCTAAGAGTAAGCCCCTCCTCCTCTCCTTTGCTTCTTGTCATGTATTTGGTAGTGATGAAAAATAAACGGCTAATACAGTTCTGATACCCACAACTCACTTTGAAAGGCACCAGAAAACAGGGTGGATACCCAGACAAGGGGTAGAGATACCACACCACAAAACAACTGCAAAATCTAGGTTAGTTAGTAGATGGCTGCACTGCTTCAAGTTTTTCATAACCAAATGTTGAAAATAATCAAAATTAGCACTATTATTCTTATCTAATCAAATCATAGTCTTTAAAGCAGTTCTGTCATGGTGCTTTAAACGATACTCACTGGTCAGCTGTTGATCATAACCATAGCTAGCGATCACTGGACTGGGAATCTTGCAGTCCGACGCTTATGCTCAGCTCAGCATCCTTGGGCCGACCCTGTAAAGTCATTTCCCCTGCACTGACCACCCCATTTTACCAAGAGGGAAGTGGTGCCCTGGGAGACCACACAGCTTTGCCAGACCATCAGCCAGGAGGCTATTTTGAACCAACGAGGACCAGACGTAAAAACATGACAAAGGCCATTGGTGCCATTCAGGGAGATTCTATCTACAGGTCACCTGAGAGTGCTGTGGGATGGTCTGTATGTCAAGTGTGTTGCTGATTGGTCAATAAATAAATCACTGATTGGCCAGTGGCCAGGCAGGAAGTATAGGCGGGACAAGGAGGAGAATAAAGCTGGGAAGTGGAAGGATGAGTCAGAGACACTGCCAGCCGCCACGATGACAAACAGCATGTGAAGATGCCGGTAAGCCACAAGCCACGTGGCAAGGTATAGATTTATAGAAATGGATTAATCTAAGATTATAAGAACAGTTAGCAAGAAGGCTGCCATGGCCATACAGTTTGTAAGCAATATAAGTCTCTGTGTTTACTTGGTTGGGTCTGAGCGGCTGTGGAACTGGTGAGTGAGAGAGATTTGTCCTGACTGTGGGCAAGGCAGGAAAACTCTAGCTACATGAGACTCCCAGGTCCTGTTTATATGCAGCTGTCCGAGCCACCTGCAAGCTTCCTGGAATCAGAAAAACGTATCAGCATCACCACTGCCTATAACAACTCCCCTCTTGTTTTCTTTGCAGTAGTGGATATTCAGTTCAGGACCCACTGCTCCACCATTTAGCTGTATCTCCAACCCTTGTGTTTTCTTTGTGTATTGTTTTGGGGTGATGTGTGTGTGTGTGTGTGTGTGTGTGTGTGTGTGTGTGTGTGTGTGTGTTGAGACAGAGGCTTTCCAGGTAACACAGGCTGGTCTCACACTTGCCAACTTCCAGCTTCCTGTCCTATGTGTTAGGATTACAGGTGTGCACCACCATCCTTAGCCATGTTGAGTTTCTTTAAATGGTCAGGGGTATAGTGTAGCTCAGTGGGAGGGCACTTGCCTGGTATAACCAATGTCCTGAATTTGATCCCTAGCAGAAGAACACCAAAATATATTTAAAAAAAAAAAAATGTGAGTAAGAATCTGGAACTTGACCTTTGACTCTACCGGGCTTGTGACTATCCTAAGTTACCCTCAGTGCCACCCCACAGGGCATCTAGAAGGAAATCACATTATTTCAGAGGGCATGTGGTAAGTACGTGTGTGTCTGTCTGTCTACTGGCATGACAATCAGCAGCAAGTCAAACACCGAAAATGGCCAGGAAAGGGCTAACTAGGCGCCTCTACACACTCACTGCAGTTACAGAGTGTATGTAACACTTTGCCCTAACGGCAGACACAGCCATCCAGTTCTAAGCCATCAGAGACCGACCCAAGCACTTTGGACAAATCCTGCATGTTTATAGAGGGGCAGCTTAGTAAACACTTCACTTGTGCTCAGAAATTCGTCTGTCTAGCTGGGAGCTGCTTCATTCCCATCAACCTTAAGTCTCTCTTGACTTTAATGAGCTGGCTGCAATCCTGAGCATTCCATGTGGTTTACCTTTAACTTCCAACCACAAATCTCAGCAGCTCACAGACTGCCAAATACTGCTGCATCCGGCCACAGGGCATTCCTAGTGACCTGCCTATCAGCAGTTCTAAGCATACCTGGGATGGGGAGGGAAGGAAGCACCAGTTTTTCAGGCAGCATCAGGGCAAGACCCCAGCTTTTTAGTTAGTGCCTCTGGCCTGCCCCACATGGTGTTCATCTTTTAATGAATGACAGTACCCAAGCAGCTGCCTCAGCCCCTTTTTAGAAGGATGTATGTGGACGTGAAAACGGAGGTGGACCCAAAGTCCTTAAGAAGCTGCTGAACTAGCCAATTCGCACAAGATCACCTGTACAGAAGCCATCTAGGAATCTCCTCATCCAGTCTGGTAGATTCCAGGCTCCTGACAGTAAGATGTTGTTGGTCTGTGGGTCACATGGAGGCTGAAGCCAGATACCAGAGAAAAGAAACCAACACAGGTCCTGAGCTCAGCCCAGCAAGGGAGAGAGGGTCAAAGTATGTCACAGCCTTCTAGCCTTGAAGGCTACAATATGCCTGAGGGCTGGTGGGATGGGTAGATGAAGGGGTGAGTGGGCCAGTAGCACCACCAAGGGCTACAGAAGATTGAAACTGTCACCTCAGAGCTGGAGAGTTGGCTCATGGTTAAGAGCGGGTACTGTTCCTGCATAAGAGTCCAGTTCCTGACATCCACATCAGGTGGCCCATAACCACCTCTACCTCTGACTCCCAGGGATCCAGTGTCCTCTCTTGGACTCTGTGGGAACCTGCACTCTCATGCACATACCCACACACACATATATACATGCTGTGGGATGTCTTTCTGTATGCTGTGAATATGCGTTATTCTGATTGGTTGATAAATAAAGCCATTTGTCCTATGGCAGGGCAGGATAGAGCCAGGCAGGAAAATCCAAGAGAGATAGTGAAAGGAGAAAGGAAGAGGTGGAGGAAACGCCATTCCGCTGTCCAGGGAGTAGCATGTAATGGCACACAGGTAAAGCCACAGAACACATGGTGACATATAGATTAATAGAAACGGGCTGAGTTTAGTTATAAGAGCTAGCTAGCAAGAAGCTTAAGCCATAGGCCATGGCCATATAGTTGGTAATTAATATAAGCCTCTGTTTGTTTATTTGGGTCTGAGTGGCTGCGAGACCAGGCAAGACCAAAAAAATCTTCTGGCTACATATACATAATTTAAAAATAATCAAAATACCTATTTTTAAGTCACCTTGCTTTCTATGAAAGGCAGCCTGAGCACTGTATGCCAGGATTGATTTTGGTCTGGAATAAAACTAGAACTCCAGAAGCAAATGGAAAATGAGTATCCAGTTGCCCCCAAGTTACCCAAGCGTCCACAAGTAACTGTTATGCTCAGAACCCTAACCTGAAACTGTTTCTATGAACACTCCTTCTATGTCCCTGTCATTCCCAGGTCCCAACTACCATACCATCTCCCTGCCCCCAGGACACAGTGTTCTCGCTCATCAGTTGAATCTCAGCTTCATCTCAAAGAGACCTTCCCTCACTATTCAGCCTGAATATTCTGTCATGCTTTGGTTGTTATTGCAACATACTCTAACCAGTAGTAACTGATATAAAGGCACGAAACAAGTACTTGCTAGATGACTGATTGGACATGCAAAGCCTGAAGCTACCTGGAGGAGAAAAATCATACCCAGAAGACCTGATGAGGAAAAGACACAGAACACATAGTGGGCCAGAGGCCTCACTATAAAGGTAAATTGTGTCTTTAGCCAAAAAGATTTTTTTTTTTCAGTGCTAGGGATAGAACCTGAGGTATCATATCTGCTAGGCAAGCATGCTCACTGAGTTACACCTATCCTCGGCTAATGAGACATCAATGAAGAGGCAATAGCCTCCCTGCTGGACCTCAGCATCTGTGAGCAAGACAAGCCAGAAGCAACAGCTTCAGATAGCCAGCCATGTGGGTGTACCCACCTAAATCACCATCAGTCTATAGCCAGACTTCCCTGAACGTTCCCTCTTTCCTCTAAAACCTTGGTATTTCCTCACACTCTCACACTCGGTGCCCAGACAGTAATATCAAAGAACATCAGCCTTTTAAAAAAAGTTTAAAAAAGCTTGTGTTGTCATCCCCCCACCCACCACCCCCATCATGACGTATATAGAGAACTATCAGTAGCTGGTATTGATGGTAGAGTAGTTCTTTGATTCATGTTTAGACCATTACAAGATAACAATGGAGGGCAGGATGGTGGAGGGATCCTGGAGCTAAACTGAATCAAATCAAGATCTGCTACTAAGTGACTGACCTTGGGCAGGCCACTTCATCTCTTTGAATTTTACATCAGTGATAAGAGATACTGGTAATGAATGCTCCAAGGGTGCTGTTCACATCCAGACTCGGGTAGCTCATAGCTCCTGTGTTTGCCTTGTCTGTCTGAGTGACTGCAGCCCAGGGTTCTGTTGGACAGATATTCTGTGTGCTCTGATACCTGCCACAACCTGCCTTGTCTGCATCTCCTTTTCCTGGGATAACAGAATATCCCCAAAGCTGAAACATCTCCCAATGCTTAGGTAATTCCATGTCCTGAGCCAGACACGGCAGCAGAATTGAGCCAATGCCTCCCCAGCCCCTAACATCGCTACAAGAATCTTCAGACATCAGGTATCACCAAGCAAACACAGAGCCAGAGTCCTTCCAGACTGGGAAACTTTTGTGTTAATGGTCAAAGCAGGGGTCATGCACTTTCCCCAAAACCAAATTGCAGAAAGGTCCAGGTCCCCCCTTGGGTGACATACAGTACCTGTAAGTGATCCTCACTTCAGTCCCAGGCTCATCTCTCTCCCAAATCAAAGCTACGGTCTCAGGGGACTTCTGCACATGCTGATCCAGGCAGTTGACTATGCAAAGAAAAGTTAACAGATGTTATTCTGGATGCTTTAGAAGAGGGCAGAGTAGGATTTGATCTGCTGTGGCTTACTATTCCTGCAGAGCAGGCTCTCCTCCCACAGAAAGGGTGCTTGCCACTACTGCAAAAAAACGGACACAGTCACTATACAAACATGATCTGTTCTGCAAGGTGACCTTGCAGTCACATCACTCCAAGGGTCCCCACACCGGCTGCATGAGGCATCACCATCCAAGACTCTTTGCATAATAGGTGCTAAGCTGGACATGCCTTTCAAGAAAGTGCTGCTCCCCTCCCCCTCTGTTGCCCAAGCTCAGCCCACATGACTTGCTGGGAACACACACACACACACACACACACACACACACACACACACACACACACACGGTCAGTGGGCTGGTTTACGGAAAACCTGAGGATTAGTGGGCTCAGTTCTGCTGACATCCTGTTCACTGATTATTTGATTTTAAAGGTGAGCCTAACCTGTGCTGGTTCCCACGGTGGCCCCTTCTACCCAACCATGTTTCCACCAGTGGCCTCCAATCTTCAGAGGTGGACTGTGGCAAGTGCCACATAACTTTTTCCAAGAGAACACTGGGGCTGAAGTTACTTAGACAAGACAAACCTACTCACAGAAGCTAAGAGACACTTGGGATTGCAACAATAACAGTCAGAGCCTGGATGTAGACAGCGCTCTTGAGGACCCACTACCAGTATTTCTCATCACTGATGGGAAATGTACAGAGATTGAGCAGCCTGCCCAAGGTCTCACAGTAACAGATCGGAGTTTGACTCAGACTAGCTCCAGGGTCCCTCACACTGCCCTCCACTGTCTCCCTATAATGGCTCAAATAGACAGCCAAGAGCTGCTTTATGCAGCAGATGGAAGAAGCTGGGGCCAACCTGTGGCAAAGGAGAGAGGAGATAGGAAGAGGTATGAGTCCACAGACAGATGAAACTTGGAACTGTGGAGAGCAGTGAAGAGCAGGCAGAGGAGAATAGGTAGCTCCTGCCAGGGGTGGAAAACCAAGGCTGTTGGGGAAGAAACTCACAAGCTGGCTTCACAAGTATCAGCTGAACATGCCCCCAGCCTGAGTCACGCTCACCAGTGTGGTGCTTGTGTGTGTGTGTGTGTGTGTGTGTGTGTGTGTGTGTGTGTGTGTGTGCCTCTGTGTGTACACGGATACCCAAATACCAAGAGTTGTCATCCTAAAATTATGGTTTCATGGCTTCTAAGCAGCCAGCAAAGAGGTCACCCCTTGGTACAGGGCCATGTCCTCAGCTGCCTGGCCATGGAGGTGACTCTGAGCCGGTCGTGACAAGTTGTGAAGGGTCACCTGAGAATCAGTGCTACAGAAAGTCCTGAAGGAGAACCAGGACAGGACTGGTTAAGAGCGGAGTGTCTGGACTGCTCTGGACACCTGGGAGCTAGTGATAAATGTAAGTCCTTCACCCACCTAGCTGTGTTGGGAGGCCACAGGAGACATGTCCCCATATTCTCCCCAGAGAATCTCTGCTCTAACCCACCCTGACTTGTGTCATCCTGAAGAGTGGACTGGTCAGATGCAACAGGAAGCAGCCTTCCAGAGGTCCTGGTGTCCTAGTGGACCTGCCCAAATCCCAGTCATAGAGCTGCAGGAAGGGGTTCAGACCCCACAGAACATCGCCTGCTCCCACGACAGTCAGGGCACCGGCATCCTTCCACCGCAGGGAGTGACTGACTCTGAACTGCGACCCTCGGCCCTGCAAAGCCCAGCAAGGTTTCCTGCCTGTGTTATGCCAAGAAGGAAGGCAGGCTGAGACAGGGGATGAAGAAGGCCTGGCACAGGTGGAAAGCGTCAGGGTACAGCTGGGTGGTCCCGTGGATCGCTTCCTGGGGCTGACAGATGGCACAAATCTAGGCAGCTCAGAAGAGATAGATCCCCAAAGCCAGTGTTCCCCAGAGGCCTCCCACACTGAGAAGACGCTAGACCACTGGCTACCAAGGTCCCCAAAGACATTGCCCTCCCTGCTGGACAAGCAGAGTCCGAAGAGCTCCCCCTGCCCCAGGGTCTTTGCTCTGGTTTTCCTGCCTGATACTGCCAGCCCTCCTGTCCACGCTACAGATCTTGGTCTATATTTCTCTCACTGCATGTGTCCCTGTCTGTGAACCCCCACGCTTCTCACCCTTGAGTCATATCAGACTCCCCGAAGAGCTTGTTAGCACGCAGGAGCCTAGGCCCTGTGAAGCACACCAGCCTCTAGCAGAGCCTGTGCATTTTAAGCAAACAGTCCTGCTGCAGCCTGTCTTGGTAGATGCCTGTGTGTTTACATGTACACCCACTATGTATGTAGCTTCCAGATTCCATGGAGATTGCGTTTCTTTCTTCCTAGTTGGGTGGAAGGTCCTTGTTAGCCCTGTGCAACACCTGGCCATGCCTTACTGGCTGGTAGCCTGGAGCTGCCTGAAAAATCCTTAAGCCTGGCCCTTGGCCAGCCACCCACTAACTACAGACAATGTCCTTGTCATTTACATCAAGTCTCAGCTTTTTAATCCACAGGGTGGTGTAGCAACCCCTGACTCTGGACGAGTCTAAGAATTAGTTGCCCCCAAGTATGTCATAAGATTGGGTCGGAGGATGTCACAGTGTTCCCAAGGAACACACCAACAGAATAATCCCATTCCTTAGAGCCCCCACAGAGTGGGGTCTGACAGAACCATGGCCCTGAAATGCCATGTCCGTGATGGCTTTTAGCACATATTTATGATTCCTTCTGCTACCTCAGTTACAGGGAAGGAAAGACGGGAGGGAGGGGTAGGGAGGAAAGGAAAGAAGCAAAGAGGAAAAATGGGAGAGAAGAAGGTAAAGGGGAGAGAGGAAGTGAAAGGAGGAGAGAGAAGAGAAGTGAGGAAAGAGGTAAGAAGGGAAAAGGGAACTTGGGAAGGGAGGAAAGGAGCTGGAGAAAGGAAGCAAGACACGGAAGATTTACCAAATCTCTCATTTAAAAAAAGTAACAATCCGAAGAACTGGGCAGTGAGACAACAAAATTCCACCTTCAAGCATTTACAGGAAGAACTGGGCCAGGGCCCAGCACAACTGAAGGCGGAGCTCAAACCCCACCTCCTACTTTGAGCCTTCCAAGTCCCCAGCACATAGTGAGCCTCTGTCCTCCCACTTCTCAGTGGCCCACACCATGTAACACTTCCTGATTCTGCCCAGGAGTCCCCATTGGGGGCATGATGCTCCTCCCCCCACTATCTGGGTCACAAGGGCCATAAGGTTCCTTTCTCATGGGGACTGGTTGAGAGCCACAGTTCTTCCCCAGCCCTGTGAAAATCTTGAGCACGCTGCCCCAATACAGATTTACTTGTTTACTGTGTTAAATAAAAAATTATAGGAGACCACTGTGATCTAAGCTCTAGCACAAACCATACTAAAAATCAAAATGGAGTTGTTCATACTAACGTTCACATCACCAAGCTGAAACAGGACTGCTTATCAGACCTTTGGAAAAATCAGGATGGGAGACACAAAAACTGGAGCCAACCTTTTCAGTGTGCCTGGTGGTGAAGTCCCCCCACCTAATGCTTATACAGAAAAGGAAAGCCAACAGAGCGTAGGTGAGCTGTCCATTATTTTCATATTGTCCTATCTCCCTGTCCCTGCCTTTCGAGGAAAGTATCTGAAAGAGCCAATCAGTTTTCTGATCTCTATTGTGCTTTTCTCAGTCCTTCTCTGTCTATAAAAGCCAGTTTTCAATAATTGATATATTTTATGAGACAAAGTGTTGTCCATCTGAGAATGTTGTAATTCCCACCTTCCAACCCTGAATTTGTAATCTGTGTGTTTCAGCTCAGGTGCTATGACAACGGGCATTTTCCACTGTTTCTGAGGTTGGGCCTTTGTGTCTCCATCTGTATAACAGGACACCAACCATTCCATGGTTGCATCATTAAGAATGGGATATGGCCCCTGAGAGCAGGGTGCCTGCTCAGCCGTGGGCTCCATTTCAGTCACTGTAGCACACAGCCCAGCCCAGATCCTAACACAGCCTCTGAGCAGTTAATGCTTGTTAATGAATCAGAGATTTTTAGTTTTATTAACAACACAAAAAAATTACAGGAGTGTTGTTACCTCCTTTAGCAAGATGACAGACAATAAAGTGGTTTTCAAACTCCCACCCCTCCCCCTACAGGGCTAGGAATGGAATGCAGAGTTCCCTACATGCTAAGCAAGTGCTCGACTACTAGGCCACACCCCTAATCCAAAAGCTCTGATTGGTTGCTTAAATATATCCCCCTCACACCCCTCTCAAATTTAAGTGAACCCAGAACACAAAGCCTCAGTCGCCATGAAAAGAAACTGGGGTTAGCAACCACACTGCAGATTCACAATGGCTTTCTTTAAATAGCGGACTTCCCTGGCACATTCTGAGAACTTTCGTCCTGAAAGTTCTATTTGCCAACTTTCCAGAAGCAACTGCTATTTAAAGCAAGTGATGCTTCTGACGTGTGAGAAGAATTCAGATTCTTCCAGAAGCTCCACTTCATGAGCTCGGAGCTACATTTCCAGTTGGAGTTCTTTTAAAAACAGGCTTTGCCTGCATTGCGTCATCTCAGCATCGTCTGATCTCTGAGTCACTGCCATCGAAGAAAGAGCATCAGCACCACGACTTCTAGCTGTGTGGTGCTCCCAAAGCATCAAGAGGGCTGAGGGTAGCACTCAGTGGCGAGTGGTGCCTAGCCTGCCTGAGAACCTGAGCTCCATTCCCAGCATAAAAGAAGAAGGAAAACACACACACACACACACCCAAGAAGTCTCAGTATTCAATGGCTAGTTAAAAATAGTTTAGTTGCCGGTTGTGGTGGCGCATGCCGGTAGGATTTGCTGCTGAAGGAGGCCGAGGCAGGAGGATGACGAGTTCGAGGCCAGCCTGGGCTACAGAGCTAGTCTAGGACAGGCTCCAAAGCTACAGAGAAACCCTGTCTCAAAAAACCAAAAAAAAAAAAAAAGTTTAGTTAAGCCAGACATGGTGGTAACTTTATCTCAGTACTTAGGAGGCAGAGGCAGGTGGATCTCTGTGAATTCCAGGTCAGTTTGATCTACATACAACACCTTGTCTCCAAAAAGTTTATGTACATACTCTTGCTAGAGTAAGAATGCCTACATTGAAATAAATCAGACTCAAGGTCTGGGATTTATAAAAATAGGACTAAAATGTGTGTGGTGAAAGCAACATATACACCATGACCCCTGGTTTTAGATTCCCAGTTTCCTGGCATCCTGAGTATACATACACAAAGCAAAAATAATTGTGGAGCCCTACAGAAAACAGAGGCAAATGATCAAGGCCAGAAAAATCCTTTTTCCATTGTGGCTTTCCAAAGACCCTACTGCAAAGTATGTTTCATAAGCATTAGAGGCAAGTCAAGGAAGGGCTTGGAGACTGTACCTCCCCCACACACACTGCCCCCCAAATCAAGGGGCTTCCAACATCACAGCTCACTGTCACAGCTTGGGGACACAGTGTGTGGTTCCCTGAGAGCCATTTAGGCACCTGCACATCTTCCAACCTCCTGCTTCCCATCCGCCCCAGACTATGGGGCTCAAACATGGGGGGTCTATTTCAGGTGGGCACAGGACTCAGCAGCATTCCTGAAGGACAAACTCAGGGTCACTACATCCACCAAATGTTTCATTAATGATTAACAGCAGTGAGTGGTTAGGGCTGCAATGTGCTAAGGACAGTGTCAAGAGCTTTACAAGCTTCAGCTCACCTAATCCTAGCAAGAGCCCCAGCCAGGTGTGCTGAGAACCACATCTGGTAGGGAAGAAGGGCAAACAAGTACCCTCCCCACCTCAAACAGGCTGCTCGGAAGAAGCTTTAATTTCTGCACAATTCTCTTGACCCTCTGGACACAGAACTTTCCATGAACCTAGCCATTACACTGTGAAAAGCCTTCTGTGGTTTGGGGAACAAGTTTCAATTGAGCCCAGCCTGAAATTTCACTTATCACAACTGTTTGAGCCCATTCTCTGAAACTGTGATGAAATAGCAGGGGATGACTACCTCTACAAAGAAAAACAATTATTTGTATTGTAGTTCAAAGGCCTGCATCTGGTGGCTTTTTTTATTTTATTTATTTTTTTGCCTAGGGAGTCCTAAGACAATGCAGAGCATCACATGGCATAAGACATGGGTTATCTCTTCTGGCCTCTCCCTCTTATAAAACACCACGATCTGACCTAATATCTCTGCCCTGATAACCTCTCCTAATCTTAGTTACCTCCCTCATAATACCTGACAAAGGCACTTTACTTGGGGAGTTTAGTGGATGAACCATATTTTAAGCATAGCTCCAACTCAGGCCCTCAAACTAGGAAGTGAGAACAAGGCAGAAGACTCTTGCTTGAGATGTCAGGGAAGGGCCTGGGGGGCCCTGTCCAGAGTCCTGACCTAGACCACAGAGGGTAATAAAATGGTCTTGTATCCTGGGTGCTTAAATTGAAAGTATGTAACAATGGTAACTACAACAGTGTTTCAGGACACACTATCTTTAGTTCACATATAAGGAAACACGGGAAGCATAGCACAGTAACAACTGAGACCTCAATGTAGCGCAAAAGGCGCAGCTGAAGCCACCAAACTATGCTGTACCAAGCACCTGCACCTGGAAGATACCCAGCTACCAGGTTTCTAAACCTAAGGGTCTAGAGTGGGCCCCAGAATTTGCATTTCTAAAAGTTCCCTGAGAAGGCTGCTGGTCCAGGACCATGCTTTGAGAAGCATTAGTCTGGAGATCCCTGAAAGGACAATAGTGTCACTCACACTTTTTGGAACAAGCTGGCATTATCACACGAGACAAACAGATCTGGTGCAAACAGTTCAACCACTTCACAACTTCCTGGGTGGCTCCCAGGGCAGCTGCAGTCTGTCCCCTTTTCATACCATGACCTCTGGGGTTTGCAGACACTGGTAAAGGACAAAGACGCTGCTGACAGTTACACAGAGAAAGAAGCTGCTTTCCTGCAGGTCAGCTTGCTGAAGTTCAGCTTCTGGCTCACACAGCTCTAAAGGTGGAAGAACAGAGGCCAAAGAATTCCTTGAAGACCACACCCAAGCCTCACCATAAGGTTGATACCACTCCTTATCAGCTCCAAGCTTGGGTGTACCAGTGGCCTTGGCCTCTTAAGCCTTGGGGAGGTTTCCAAAGAAGCCACACACTTTCTGCCCTCTTCCTTCAGCAAACATTTTTACTCACTTCAAAGGCACATTCCATCAATTCTACAGACCCAAGAACATCCCCCAAGTTGGAGATTTTGCTGACTCAACTCTAAAGACAACACTTATCTAGTAAGAGACTCATTTAGATTAAACTTGCCAAGTAATATACAATATGGGGAAAAAATGACTGGTCCAAAGTTTCTTTAAGGTGTTGTGCTTGAAAAAAAAAAGACACTACCTATAATTTCTGAATATAGTAAATCAGAATTGATACAGCTTATTGATTACCAATAAGTCTGGACAAGGTTCTGTAAACCCCACTGTGCTGGCACAGCCAGCTTAACAGATGAGTATTACTTCCCTAACCATAAGTGGGGAGATTGAGATGCACCAAAGTTAATTCAAGTGAGTGCAGCAGACACCAGAATCCTCCTCTAACTGGTCCTTGAACAAAGCATCAGCTTGCCAGGGGGACCGTCAGTTCCTTTCTTTTTTTTTTTTTTTTTTTTTTTTTTGGTTTTTCGAGACAGGGTTTCTCTGTGTAGCTTTGTGCCTTTCCTGGGACTCACTTGGTAGTCCAGGCTGGCCTCGAACTCACAGAGATCCGCCTGGCTCTGCCTCCCGAGTGCTGGGATTAAAGGCGTGCGCCACCACCGCCCGGCCGTCAGTCCCTTTCTTATGCATCTCTGACCCACCCAATCCTAACTCCCACCCCACTGGAAGGCAGAAGTCCCTGAACCCCTGCCGTGCACCAGAGGCTCAGCCCCTCTGTCCAGCCCCTCCTTCAGTTCTTGGACTTCTCAGTGCCTCAGTGGTCCTCCAACCTTAGCAGCACCGAATTCAGACTCATCAGAAAACAGACAGCTGGTGACTGGTGTGTCTCTTTTGGAGAATGAGGAGGAGGCTACATGGCCCAAGCTGGCCTTGAGCTTGGCCCAGCTCTTTCTGACTCAACCTCCACAGTGCTGGGGTTACCTGCCTTTGTCACTGTAGACGTTTGTCTTTGGGGTGCAGTTCTGAGACCCAGAACTTCCTGCCCACACACCCCCCGAGAAGGGAGATAACCGGTTCCCTCCCAGCGGCTGGTGCTTTCTTCTTCCTGCACCCACCAGGGCTCTGTTTACACTGCAGGGCTTGTCCCCAGGGTAGCCGCGAACGCTAGCACCTTAGCACCGTCAGACGGTAACAACCTACACACTGCGTTTATCCCGCTGACCTGGGGGCCCCTGAGCAGAAAAGTCTCGACTCTTGGAGCATGCGCTCTCTCCACCTAGGCCTATCTGGGGTCGTAAGCTGTGTGCCCACCGCGCTGGGGACTCCCGAGATTAAAGTCTGAAGAAAGTGCCCCCAGAATCTGAGCTAGGGTAGGCCACTCTGACCTCAAATTGGCTATCCTCAAGTTTCCCGCTTGAGCCAGCGCTGCAGGTTTGCGCGCGTAGCCGGTGCTCCGCCAGCTGCAGTCTCTGGACCGGGTGGGATGCAGGACAGGAGGACGTGGCATAAGGATCAGAGTAGGTGGTGAAGCATACTGGAGAAAGGGGCCAAGGCCTGGGGACAGCTGCTACTGACAAGGGGCCTCCCGAGTCTCGGCAGGACTGAGTTGGTCCCCAGCAACCCACTCACCAGATACATTCAACTGGCCTCCCAGGAACCAGCCGATCTTGCCCGTCCTAAAGTCGCAGTCCCAGACAGTGTGGTAGGGGGTGTCCCAAACTAGTGTGTCACGGGCCAGCGGCCCCCAGAAGGCGGCTGGCTCCTGGGCCGCCTGAGCGCTCAACGCAGGGTATGAGCCCGGCTGCGCTGCCTGGGGAACGCTGCCTAGGAGCCGAGTGGCGGTCGATAGGGACACGCTCAGCAACCACCCCGATTGTCCGGAGCGCCCGTGCAGGCTACGCAGCAGTCGCCCCACACCGCTGCCCAGGCTGCGCGCCGCCATCTCGCCCGACGCCCCACGCGGGTGCAGGAGCCTGAGCGCCCCTAAGAGTCTCCACCGCCCCGCCCCGGCTCCGCCCCCGCGGCCACCACCCACTACTCCCCGGCTTCACTGAAGCAGCTTCCTTGAGCCTGCCCTGGCCCCACCTCTTCTCCCCGCCTGGAGAGGGGTGCGCGCAGTGTGGGGGTGGAGGTGGGGGTGGGGGTGGGAGTGGGAGGGGTGGGGGTAGGGGCAAGATTGCTGTGCACCCAGTGTCAGGCTAGCCTGCGCTCTGGGCTTCAAGTTCCTGGGTTTCTGCGATCGCTTTTTGCAACCAGACAACTTTCCCCGCTCACTACAGCAGCTTCAAGTACGTGGGCTGCCCAGGCTCCGGACCTGGGACGTGGGCAGCGCTCTGAGAAAGGAAGGATCGGATTGGGAAAGCGACTAATGGGTCATGAGAGCGAAGAGCACAGATGGTGTGGATGAACCGTCAGTCGGTTCTGCATTCCAGAGACTGAAGTCAAATCTTTCCTCCCTAGGTGACCTCCTGAGAACGAATCCCTCTCCCAATGGTGCTGGCCTGTACCACCACTCCACTCACACATAACTGACCTCTGGAGGACTAAAAGGCTGATAAACAAGCCTGGGGGCCTTCAAGCCCGGAAGAAGGTGCTATGAAGGCCAGAGTCCAGGGACCGTATTCATGTTACCCAGCTGCCGACCCCTGTCCTGGCAGGTATCGATTGCTTCTTACCCTGGGAACCTTCGCTGATTTGAGATGATGGGAAGCTATGGTGAAGAATAAAATCAATGTTCTCAGCACGTCTAGCCTGATTGACACTATGCACCATCATATCCGTCATGGAGACGAAGATTTTGTTATTGAAGAATCAAGAATAGAAAGACATGTGTCTCTACCAAGTACTTAAGTGGTATCAGTCGGGCGGTGGTGGCGCACGCCTTTAATCCCAGCACTCAGGAGGCAGAGGCAGAGGCAGGCAGATCTCTGTGAGTTCAAGGCCAGCCTGAGCTACAGAGTGAGTTCCAGGACAGGCTCCAAAGCTACACAGAGAAACCCTGTCTCGAAAAACCAAAGAAGGAGGAGGAGGAGGAGGAGAAGAAGAAGAAGAAGAAGAAATCAAGAAATTTCTTTTGAATTTTCCAGTGTTGTGGAGTACAGGTTTTTGAAGTATGACCTATTGATTCCCTGGATTTCCTCAGTGTCGTTATGCCCTTCTTCTCATTGCTGATTTTGTTAATTTGGATATTCTCACTCTGCTTGTTAGTTAGTTTGGATAAGGGTTTGTCTGTCTTGTTGATTTTCTTAAAGAACTAAGAAGTAAATACATAATAGAAATTAAGCACTAGGGTTGGGGGATTTTCAAAAACTGGTTTGTTGAGTTCTTTGGGCTGGCAAAGACTCCTTCCTGTTGGCTGTGACAGCTGCAGATAGGTCATTCTCTTGGAGGGGGACACTGTGGGTGAGCTGCTGAGGAGGGAGGGTTGGAGGGCAGTGTCAAAAGCTACTGCAGGCACATGCCCTGCCTGCCCTCAGCCTTAGTCACTCTAAAAGTTAGTAAGCTGGGCACAGTGGAGCACCCCGGGGGTCCCAGCTATTCAGGAAGCTGAGACAGAAATCACTCACTGGAGAGTCTGAGAGTAGCCTGGGCAGCATTGCAAGACTCCGCCTTAAGAAACAAAACCAAACCAAAACTTGGCTAGGCCAGAACCAAAACATAGTAGAACAAAAGGTTATATAGTGCTGGAATAAACAAGGAAGCAGTCCAAACTAATAAAAGAGACATACAAAAGAGCACATGGCTGGCTATTGGAAGAGGAAGGTAGCACCCAGCACCCCCAACTATACCATCAATCCCCCCTTTTAACTGGACATATAAAATTATAAGTAAGAGAAAGAGCAGACTCAGCCAGGGGGTTCTGAGAGGTGCCCACCAACACTTGCTCTCCTAGTGTGCACTGGGAATTTTCCTGCTCCATCAAGATGAGGAGGCTGAGTTGGGGGTGTGGCTCAGTGACAGAACTCATGCCTAGCATAAGTTCTATCCCCCCATACACCTAGCCCTCTAAAAAGATGAGGATCCTCTAAAAGTCTGGGTTGACCTTCTAGCTTTACTCCATAGGACCTGGCAGAAGTGATGCTTTGACAGTTTCTGGCCAGACCCCGAGGCCTTGGCAGCCCTGAGTATGGCCTTTTTGTTTCCCAGCCGCCATGCTGTGAGGGAACTGGCCCTGTCTTCTGGAGGCGGCGGGCCCACGAGAGAATGGAATTATACTAGACCATAGCCAGGACCAGCTTTGGACAGAGGTGCATCTGCCTTGGACGCTCTATACCAGGTCTGAGGACCTCACCCTCAGCACAAAAGATCTTCCTAGTGATTTGCAAGGTTGGAAGAAATCTCAAACAGCCTTAACTTTCTTACTCAGTCATAGCTAGCTGACACAAGAACTACTCCTTGTGGTGATATTTTACTTGTGCTGAATTGTGGTGTTATTTTATTTGTATGTTGATAAATAAAGTTTGCCTGGAGATCAGAGGAAATAGCAAGTCGTTTTAAGTAAACACAAAAGTCAGGCAGTGGTAGCACACGCCCTTAATCAGATCACTTGGCAGGCAGGGTCTCTGTGTGTTCAAGGCCATACTAGGCAACAGAGTCAAGAATGGTGACACATGCCTTTAATCCCAATACCAACCATAGAGACCTGGAGGTCTGTACAGACAGACAGTGACAAGGAAGTGAGGTAGCTGGGCCAAGAGCCAATGAGAGGGCAGAACAGCAAGGCAATAAAAGCCTGGGCAGACAGGAAGTCGTGGCATTTTAGAAACTGCAGAGCCGGTGAGATAAGGTTGGTTGGTGGCTCTCACTGTTTCCCTGATCTCCAAGGCTTTCACCCCTATATTTGGCTCCGTGTTTTTCATTTAATAAGACCACTTAGAAATTCAGCTACAACTCCTAAAATGTGAAGCCCTCCTTTTTACCAGTTTCTACATCTCATCCCTGCACTGGTTGCATTTTCTCTCTTTGTCCTCAAAGTGCTAGAGTGTCCGTTCTCAACTGTCAACTTTGGCCTCCAGGACCCCTGGAGACAAGAGTTAGCTCTCATCCTTTGAGCTTGAACCCGTAGCCAGAACCTTTCCTCCAACTTCAGCCCGTATTCAAATGTTAGGTTTTGGTTTTGGTGTTTTGAGGCAGGGACAGCCTCAGATTTGACCTTGAACTTCTAAACCTCCCCCCTATCTGCACTTCTTGAATATCACAGGTATATGTTACCATACTTTGTTTATGGAGTGTTGGGAACCAAACCTAAGGCTTCAAGCATATTTGGCAAACATTCTACCAACTGAGTGCATGCCCAGCCCCTATTCAAATGTTTAATCAACTTCTTGAATAGATCACATCCTGAAGACGCTTTCTCAAACACTGGCCTTCCAGATCAGAGAAGGAGAATATATTTTCTCACTGTTCAAGTGGCTTATACCCTTGTCATCCTAGACTCCTCTCTCATACATGGCAGTAGCAACTTATCAGCAAGACCCCCAGGGATCACCTTCAGAATAACACCCCTCATCCTCCCACTGATCCGCCATCTGAACCACACTCAACATCCTTCTAATTATCATTCAATGGGCTTCTAATTCCATTACTCCTTCCCTCCGTGGCCTGATCAGCCAATGCAGTTTCTTCAAAACAAAGGTTAAGGGCTGTAGCTGTCAGGAGCTATGGCTCAGTGGCAGAGCTACTGCCTAGCATGTGCAAGGCCCTGGGTTCCATCCCCAGCATGGGGTTGGGGTGGGGAGGGGGAGAAAGAAAAAAAAGAAAAATAGGATAGAAAAAGAAAACAAAGGTCAGATGAGGTCTGTCTGCATTCAGAACAAGCCAGCATCTCCTCCACTCCATTCCTCCCCGTTACCCTAACTCACAACATCATGGTCATCTTCCGAGAAGTCTGAGACATTCAGAGTGGTAGGCCCCTTCACAGGCCTTGTACTTCACAACCTGTATGTTATCACATCCCCAGAAGACATATATGCACAGTCGAGTATGAAAAATGCCATGTTGATCAGGTACAGAGGTTTATGCTTAAAGTTCCAACTACTTGGGAATCTGAGGCAGGATCTCTTGCCAGCTGGACAGCATAGCAAGGCCTTGTCTCCAAAAGGAAGAGAAGAGAAAGAGGAAAGGGAAAGGGTCTAAGAGGAAGGGGAAGGGGTCTAGCTGATGCAGCCTCGCCTCCCCCGGGATGTGTTTTCTCTACCCTCATTTTCTCAGGCTGCAGCCACACTGTACTCCTGTCCTCCAAGCAGCAGACCCACTCCTGCCTCAGGACCTTTCCACATACTATTTATCCTGCCAGGATCACTTTGTCCTAGAAATCCACATAGACTACCCCCTCCACTTCCTTCAGACCCCTTCGAATTCCCTTTATCCTCAGGTCTTTTCTGTCAACTACATGGATTCATCACCTCAACACTCACACCCGTGTCCAACCTCTGACCTCACTGTTCTCTGTAGCACACATATATGAGTTTTTTGCATGTTTCTCTTTTCTTGGAAGCGGAGGTCGAAGGGAAAAAAATAGATTCTAATTTCTGTGTTTGGGACTGTGTCTCCAGCACCTAGATTCTCCCTGGCACATACTGCAAAGGCAGTAGATACTTGTTGAACAAGTGAATGAGACAGTACAGACGGCTTCTCTATGATTGGTTGCCATGGGACCCACGGATAGCGCACCCTCTAGCATCTTGGCTTTCTAAGAAATGTATTTTAACAATGATAAAAGTATGGCTTTTCCTGTCTCTCTCTCTCTCTCTCTCTCTCTCTCTCTCTCTCTCTCTCTCTCTCTCTCTCTCTCTCTCTCTTTCGGGATTAAACCCAAGGTCTTCTGTATGCTTACCATGCACTGTAACACTGAGCTACAATCTGTCCTCTGACTCTATTTCCAAATAAAGAAACACCACACAGTTCCTATTTCCTCTTTGGATTGAATATGCATATGAAGCAGAATCAGCCAGATGGGGGAAAATTACACTTTCTGCTGCCCAACCAAGAGGCCACATGAGGCCCTCCCTCCAGAAGACAGCCTAAGGCCAAGACTATCCTTCTAGAACTAGAAGAAGGATGGGCCTTACCAGCCCTGGGTCCACAAGCTTCTTTCCTGGAGCTCTCAGTTCTGAGAACATGGGTCATTTGGGCAGTGTTGGCCACACTTTTCTCCTTCTGGAGTCTGGCTTTGAAGTCAGCAGAATCTAGGGCTGGAAGTCTCAGAGTGCAGGCCACAGACTGCAGGAGGGCAACCTGGGGCTTGTCATGTTTCTCAGCACTGGCAATTCCAGCATTGCTATTCCTGAAACTTCAAGCCCTGAAACTAGATGAACTTGTTCTCACGCTGCCTGGCGGCAACCAGTGCCCAAGGTCAAGAAGTAGGCAGGAGCTGTTGATTAGTGCTAGGCCTCCAGGGTTCACTGGGCAATTTCCAGGGTGCCTTCATCTATCATTCCTTTACCTTTGCTTCTGTGGCTCCCACTCCACATCATAAAGAGGCAAAGGATTCCAATCCACTTAGGTATTAAAGAACAAAATCACGACCATTTAAAGATCTCAACCAACTTTCTTTTCAATTCTTGATCTCTCCTTCCATGAAATACATCAGGTTTTCCAACAGGCCAGGCAGAGAAAGTAAGTTGTATAGACAGAGTTGGAGCAAGCAAAGACAAAATTCAAAAGGTGGCTTGTCATTTCAAAATCACTTTTCTTGTAAAGTAGGGACAGGAATAGAGAACAATGGGTAAATGGCGGTGGCTCTCCCCAAGTCCCTTCGGCTTCCTGTTCTGTGCAAGGAAGAATGTGGATGGAACTTCACCACCAGCCCCACTAAGAATAGCCTGGGGTGGGACACATGCTTGTTTGCTCTCTGTTTCCTCTGAAGATCAGATTAGCATCCTAGTTTCATCTTTGTGACATGAACTTTAGCATGAGTAACTCCATTTAAGCTATTTGTGTGTAGGGCTGTGGGTGTGCACATGCGCATGGTCAGGTATGAGTGATGTGTGTATGTACAAGTCTGCATGTGGAGGCCCAGAGGATAACTTCTGCCATCTTCAGGAGCACCATTCACCTCCTTTGAGGCAGCATCCTTCATTGGCCTGGGGCTTATGAATTAGGCTGGACTGGCTGGCCAGCAAGCCCAAGGAATTCTCCTGCCTCTGTCTCCCCGGCCCTGACATTACAAGCACACACAGCACACACCACCATGCTTGGCATTTTTATGTGGATTCGAGGAACCAAGCACATGTCTTTGTGCTTGCAAAGCAAACACTTTGTAGACTGAGCCAGACTTCCAGCTCTTTGGGATTTTAGCTTGTCTGCTGTGCCAGTCCAAAAGAATGGCCTCCTGTGGTGTTTATGTAATATAAGAAACAATCCCAGGCAAAGGATATAGCTCAGTGGTGGTACATTTGCCTGGCACACAAGAAGCCCTGAATTCTAGCACCACTTAACACTAAATAAATAATAAGCCATTTTGGTTGGTAGTGGATTCTTTGTGACCCTCCTACATTGTTAAGACCTAGCATGGAGTCACCAAATCTGTTCACTGTCAAGTCAATGGCCTCCAATGAACCCCTAAAGCTCCTGCCTCCTCTTTCCTGCACGTCCTCCGTCTTATTCATCCCCTCCTACCCATCCCACACTTCTTTCAGTCGACACTCATAGGGTATCTCTGGGGCCCTCCTGTATACAGTACCCAGAGCTGAGGGGCATCCATTAGGCAAAGGTCCTGCACTGGATGAGGTCATAATACATGTTCAGATCACAGGGATGCAAATCAAAACTGAAGCAAGGAATCCATGACAGAGCATGGAAAGGGGTCAAGGGAAGGAGAGAGCCAGAAGCCAGCATTCTGGGTGGCTTCTGGTTTCTCACAGACTCAGTGATGATGTAAAGGTCTGAGGTCACTCTATATAAATGTGCCCTATGGTAGTGGAGGCCTGATGGTCCCTACCCAACTGTAGCAGGCCCAAGTCTCACTGTGCAACACTGCACATGTATATAAGCTATCTATGCTTTATAGGGTTAGCCCAACAGCACACAGACACACACAAGACAAGAGAGCCGACCATCAAGAACGGGAGGGAGCAGGAAGTGAAAATCAGAACTAACTTCAGGGAGAATGATGGAGAGGTACCTTTCTAGTGTCCTGAATTCCCCATCTTCATGTGCTTCTGCTCAATGGTGCTCTGAGAGGATTGCACAAGGCACTCCATGGTGGATCAGCCCCAGCTCCAGCCACATGCTCATCAAAGCTGAACAACACCAAAACATGCTAACTCTGTTAGTGCTGGGGGTGGAACTCAGGACACTATATACGCTAAGCACATACTCTTCCATTGAGCCATACCTGTGCATGGGAGCTCATTAATTCACTGCTGTGGGATGGTCTGTATGTCAAATGTGTTGCTGATTGGTCAATGAATAAATCACTGATTGGCAGTGGCCAGGCAGGAAGTATAGGCGGGACTAACAGAGAGGA